TTTTAAAAGTAAAATATTTTTTAGTAAATAATAGAGTTGTGATTAATTAAGTGGAACAAAAATAAAAGATATAATGTTTAATTTATCACGGTGCTATTGACATAGAGGAACTAGAATTTCCAACATACTAGTGGGATGTCCCAAGTTCGTGTCTCCCTGAGTAAAAGAATGAATTCCAAAGAACAGTGAAGGTTAAGAGTAGGATGGCCGGGCGTGGTGGCACAGGCCTGTAATCATAGACTCTGAAGGCTGAAGTAGGAGGAGCACTGTGAGTTTGAGGCCAACCCTGGATCCAGAGTAAGTTCAGAGCACCCTGAAGTATACAGTGAGACCCTGTCTCAAAAACAAAGCAAAGCAAAACAAAACAAAACAGGAGTAGGAAAGGTTGTTGAGAGGTGATAGCTCCCTAGGGGTCCCTAGGAGTCCCACATGGGTTGCCACAGAGGTCCTTTGTCTGGGGTATTTTATACAGCCAAATCACAATGTGAGTACAACACGAGTCATGCTATAATCAACCTGTAAGATTACATACAATAGCTGCTTAGCTAATATTGGCCTAGTAGGGAAATGAGTCCTGTAGCAAGGATATACAGAAAGAACAAAGATGGTTTTGGGAAGGGACGGGGCCAGCTGCTCTGGTCACCCATCGAGGTATGGGATGCCCACTGGGACTAATGGGACTAAGTAATTACCACCACCTGGTCCAGGGATAATTCCAGCTTGCTGTTCATGTAGTAGGAAGCATGTAGGCTTGGCCTTTGCATTTTTATCTTTTTTTTTTTTTTATGTATTTGGTTGTTACAGGGTCTCACTACACAGCTTGGACTCACAGTGAGCCTCCTGCCTTCCTCTCTCGCTGACCCCTGCATTTTTACCTTGAGGCCTTGCTCTTTTTAGATGTGTCTCCAGCCACAATTCTGATGTCATTTTTACCGACTTGCTTGAGAGCCCAGTCCCTCTCTGACTGTCTATTAATTTGTATCTAACTTAGCTGCCTTTAATACTATGACAAAGAATTTAAAGATCAAAATTAAATCCTATAAAGATTATTGTTTTTCTACTATTAATTTCCTCCATATTTGTGAAAAAGTCTTACTTTTTCTTTATACTTCATCTTAATTTAGGACACTGAGATCTGGAAATGACTAGAATACTAATTTTGGGAATGAATTATTATCAAGCATTGTTCTGGGTTTTAATACACTAATTAAATTCTTCCAACAACTCGAAAGGATTTTATTACTTCTCTTCTTCAAAGGAAGAAGCTAAGGTTTAGGGAGATTTAATAAATAACACATAAGTAAGTGGTGGAAGCGACGTATGGGGCCCGATTTCAAATCTCATCCAACAGTTATAATAATTACTATAGAGATCTGTTATGATATTTATAAAGGGTTGACAAAAAGACATGAAAACATTTTAAATTAAATAGTAAATAATTTGGTGTATAGAGATATGAAAAAGCAATATTTTTTACAATTAAAGTATAAATATAAATCTGAGAGAAAATCTGCTCCATTAAGAAAAAACTCCATTATACTCTTATAAAATCATATTAATTTAGCAATCATCCTTTCTAATTGTCTGCAAAAATTTTATTTCCCTCAGGTTTTGTTCTGCAATGTTCGGCATTGTCTGGGGTGAATAAAGGGTGTTCATTGGCCAGAGAATGGCGTACACTTACATCACCACGGCTGATGGGTACTGTCTTGCTGAACCCATGCAGTACTATGGTATGTAACAACACAATAAAACAGTAAGACTTTTTTGAGGGAATTATGTTTAATTACACAGCCTTTCTTTAAAAAGAAATTGACAAATAAACAAATGATTTTCAGTTACTCCTTATAAGAGAAAATAATAAATTTCAAAACCCAGTAATATATTGTAAACCAGAATCAAATACAAAGAGAAAAAGGCACAAGGGTCTAAACTTTAATTTAATTTTTAAAAAGAAATTAACATGCAAATGTGAAGTTTAGTGGTCAGCTATAGCTAATTTTTAATGCCATTTAGTTAATAAGATTCACAATAGCTATTCATACTTAAAATTTTAGTCTTAGGATAAGAGTGTTGCCAACAAAATTGGGATCATCTCAACTGAGTCCAGCTGGCTAATTCTGAGTATATACTTTTTCTCTCAGAAAAAAAAAAAGACCAATGCAGGGGGAGACCAAGGAGATAATATGATCTTATGTACAGTTTAAAAAGTATTTGTCATGTTTGCCATGCCAGTGACACATTAGCCAGTGTTGTTCTGTTAAGGTTAAGAATAGCTAGGGTTTCTTCTTCTTCTTCTTCTTCTTCTTCTTCTTCTTCTTCTTCTTCTTCTTCTTCTTCTTCTTCTTCTTCTTCTTCTTCTTCTTCTTCTTCTTCCTCTTTCTCTTCCTCTTCCTCTTCTTCCTCTTCCTCTTCTTCTTCTCCTCCTCCTCCTCCTCTTCCTCCTCCACTATCATTTAAGATGGGCCCTCCTTTCCCTCATCTTTCCCTCTTATTCCTTTCTCTTTCTCTTTCAATCTCTCCCCTTCCTCTCTCTCCTTTTTCTCTTCTTCCTTCTTTTCTTCCTCTTCCTCCTCTTTGTTCTTCTTTTTCTTTAAAGTTACATTATTTTACTGATAGTTTTTCTTCTTAGATTAGATTATTTGGTATTTGTTCAACACCTGGCATTAATTAGTGGATACTATAATTTTGTAAATTATGTAAATAAAAATTATGCTTTTTATCAGTATTGGTAGAATTTTGAGAGTAAAATAAGTTTGTGTTGTTTAGACATCATGTGCTTTTATTTACAGATAATTATATCTAAACTATGTGAACAAGAATATGTCTGACTAGCTGGGTGTGGTGGTGCCTCCTCCCTGTAGTCTCGGCACTTGCGAGACTTGATGTGTAGACCGTTTGGTGGGCCCTGAAATTGCAGTTTTGTGTTAAGTTGATCCTTACCTTTACTGCCTTCACCAGGAAATGTATTACAATGATGCCCTGAGGCTTTATTACTACAAATGACAGGCACGAGCATCACTGGGAGTTCCAGGCCAGCCGGGTCTACATAATGAGGCTCTGTCTCAAAAAACAAACAACCCCCACCAAAAGAATAATATTATAAACTCAGTCAACTTGGGCTGGGGATGTAGCTCAGCTGCACAAGCACCTGCCTGGCAAGCTCAAGGTCCTGAGTTCAATTCCGAGTACCCCCCTCAAAAAAAAAGAAGGTTCATCAAAGTAGGCACACTTATTTCCAGACAAGCACCATAACAAAAATGTGACGAATAACTTACACCAGGCTACAGATGGCAAAGGAGGGTGTTCAGACACAGTAAATAAGACTTTTCAAATTAAATAACTAGTAAAATTGTGTTTTAATTTTTCTTTGCAAGAGTCAGATAATTGATTAGTTCATACTGCTCTTGACTTTATTGAAGTACAAGCCGTGATACACACCAAGGGGGACGCCATGAGAACAAGGAAAATCTTCCATTCCAAATTCTGGGGAATAGTGATTTCCAGCTGAGGAGGCAGAATGCATTGGTGTACGAGCCATTAGCAGCTCTTTTCTTTCTGCCAGCTTCAACCTCCGCATGCCACTGGGACGGTAGCATTTAAAAATCATGTACTATGTAGGCCAGTGAGATAGCTCAGTGGTCAGAGGTGCCTGCTTAGGCAAGCTTAGGCAGGCACAGGGGACTGCAGTTCAATCCCTGGCACTGCACACCACACCAGCCCTGCCCTCAGAGTGGGCTGAGCTGCCCCCCAATCATGTATTATGATTTTGTTTACTGTACGTTCAACATGCTGGATGGTAAACCCCTGGGATCTAATTGGTAAACTGAACTAACCCTGTTTGTGAAGCATAAACTCTTGGAGGCTTGAAAGCAATTATGAAATGTTGACTTTTTATCATTTGCTCTTTGCCAGAACAAGTCAATCAGCAGCAGCACCACACTGACTTCCAAGATGCACCCTACTGCCCTTATACCACTGCCCAGTTTCCTCCGGCTTTGCAGTCCCCATCTTCACAGAGCAATTTCGACTCCTATAGCTTGAGTCAGCAGTACAGTGATAATGGCCAGTGTGCATTTGCTTCACATGACTTACATAAACCCACTTTTGTGGTCACCCATGACATGGAAGATGGATACTCCAGGATGGAAAGGTTTACACCAACTTGTCCTTTGAGAATTTTGAAAGGACAAGGAGAAGTCTGTGTGGTTTGTGGTGATAAAGCATCAGGATATCATTATAATGCGCTTACTTGTGAAGGTTGTAAAGGTAAGAATCGGTCATGAAACATTAGGTTTCTTAATAAATCATGAAAAACAAACCCAGAGAGGACCATGTCATGTTTAAAGGGAACAATGTGTGGGATGATGTGAAAACGAAAGTTGAGGTATAGTTTTCAATTTTCCTCCCCCCTTTCTTTTTTTTTGAGATGAGGGTCTCATGTAGTTCAGGCTGGCCTTGGCTCACTATGTAGTCCAGGGTGGCCTTAGACTCACGGTGATCCTCTTGCCTCAGTCTCCCAAGTGCTGGGATTGCAGGCAGATGCCCACAAGCTTGGCTCTTTTTTTTTTCTTTTTCCCATTTTGAGACAGGGTCTCACTATGTAGTGAAGGCTGGCCTCAACTCACAGTTGGATTCACTTATGTAGCCTAGGCTGGCCTCAACTCAAGACCTGTCTCAGCCTCCTGAATGCTGGGATTATAGGCAAGCACACTCTTCTTCTTCCTCTTCTTTTTTATTATATTGGGGCACTGAGCCTCCCCACCCCAACCTTTCTCTCTAAATTGCTAAGTTGGCCAAGTTGGGTTTGAGCTTTTGGTCCTTCTGCCTCAGCTTTCCACAGTGCTGAGATTATAGGTGTGCACTACCATTTCCAGCTTGAATGTTAACTATTACATCTTTTTATGTGGTTGATATAATTCATGCAGTTCAAAGGAAATTTATATTAACTAACTTCTAAGATTCTAATTTTTGAAATTTCTTTTTAAAATTTTTTTTTGAAATTTCTTTTTGAAAACAGATTGAAAATCTGAGTGTGTAGACCAATACTAACAATGGAATTTGCAGAGTAAAATAATCTTTGATCTTGAGTTCTGAGGTTTTGAAGTGTACTTGCATTTTAAAAAATGCACAAATGCAGGGTTAGAGATAAGAGCCCTCTATAAGGGTCTGGCTTTGATCTTCCGTACTACTTTTCCCACTCCATTTGCAATTTTTAGGACTAGACCTTGCTCTTAAAACTAAGTTGAGGATCAGGGAGATAGCTTGGCAGTCTAAGCACCTGTCTGGCAAGAGCAAGGATATGGATTCGACCCCTGGGACCATTATGCTGAGCCCACTGCAGAACCCGGGCATGCTGTAGGGGCCACTGAGACCAGGCATGGTGGCACATGCCTGTAATGCCAGGGCTGGGGAGGCTGAGACAGGAAGATCACTATGAGTCTGAGCTGCATAGGGAGATCCTGTACCAAATGAATAAATAAATAAATGAAAAACAAACACAAACTAGGTTGAATGCTGAGGGCTGGTGAGATACTAAGTGCTACTTAGGAAAGCTAGGGACTGGGGTTCGATGGTCCACATGCCACATCTGTCCCACCCCCAGGTGTGCTGAGCCAGCCACCAAGTCTAAGCATGGTAGCATACCCCTGTAATCCCAATGCTGAGGAAGCTGAAAATAGGAAGGTCACTACGAGTCTGAGCTGTGTAGTGAGACCCTGTACCAAATACATTAAAAAAAAAAAAAAAAAAAAGAACACTGAGGTATAGTTCTAAAATCCCAAACTGAGCTTTCTATTTTCTTTGTTGAATCTAAAATATGAAGCTTGGGGCTGGGGAGATAGCTCAGTGGAATAAGTGCTTGCCTGGGAAGCACAGAGTTCTGAGTTCAATCCCTGGTACTACCCAAAAAAAAAAAAAATGCTCCAAACACCAGAAACTCATTGAGTAAAACATGAAGCTCCTATTCATAAGTGTCTATTGAAAAAGACATGTTAAAGCTTTAAGGAAGAACATCAATGAAGGTGATAAACTTTACTGTTTGAAATAGAAGTAGAGAAAACTAGCTGGGATTATTGTGTAGAATAAGAATAAAGAAAATTTGGGTGTGGTGGCTCCTGCCTATAATCCCAGAACTCAGGAGGCTGAGGCAGGAGGATCGCTGTGAATTCAAGGCCAGCCTGAACTATATAGGAAGACCCTGTCTCAAATACAACCAAACCAAACTAAAACAAACCAACAAGCCACTGCCACCAAAATAAATCCCAAAACTAAGGAATGAACAAACAAAAAATAAAGGAGAAAAGAGCAAGAAGATTAGGCAGTCCTTTCTCCCATCAATCATGGCTTCTCCATGTCTTTGACTATAAACTAAGCAACACCTAGGGATGTGCTAAAGAAGGGAAATGGACACAAGAGCACATTTGGGGGAATGGTTTTAATTTTGTGGGTTGAAGTGGAAAAGTAGAACAATGATTTTCTTATAATTTTATTTTACAATAACACTTATATATTCTTTTAGGGGAATCTTGAGCAATGCTTCATGGGATCCTTATAGTCTTTAAAACAATATAAAAATGTTTTATGGTGATAAATTAGAACCATACTAGAATAGTGTGGTTTTTTGACACAGGGCCCCACTGCGCAGTCCAGGCTGGCCTCAGACTTGTGGCAATGCTCTTGCCTCAGCTTCCTAAGTGCTTGATTGTAGGCGTGTGCCACCATCATGCCCCCTCATACTGAAACGGACTGCTGTCTTAGTGTGGAATAGCTATTTAGTTTAATTTCCAGATGTGAAAATGGCAAGGAATAACCATGGAATGAAACACAGCAATTAGGAAAGGATTATTTAAATTTCCAGATAAATGCATATTAACCAAATCTTCTCATTAAGGGAAAAACATTTTATTGAGATAGTTTAGGTCAACTTGATTACTTAACTCCACTATGGAGTCATAACTAAAGTATGCATTTTAAAATCCACAACACGTGTTATCTTCAGGTTTCTTTCGACGTAGCATCACCAAGAAGGCAGCGTACACCTGCAAGCACGGCGGCCACTGTGAGATGGACCCGTACATGCGCAGAAAGTGTCAGGCGTGCAGGCTGAAGAAGTGCAAGGCGGTGGGCATGTTGGCAGAATGTAAGTCTTTATTTCTGAGGTTTATTTCGGAGAGGTTTTAAAATTCTTTCTTGCCTTACTTTATTCAGATCATTTTGAACATTTTTATGTTTGGAGTTCACCTATTCATTTTTAAACAATTGACCAATTAAAAGCTCTAATTTCCAATCTAGATAATTATTTTCATAAACCTTGTTCTATACTATACTACTCTATTTTTAGTACTTGTATTTTTTTCTTAATTAGTAATTCTTATATTTTAATGTTATTTAACTTAAGGTTACATAATCTATGCAAACCCCCAGCACTTTAAATTACTATTTCCCAAAATGCATGCACAATATCTAAGTATGTAGAGTTTACTAACAATTAACACACGGTGGGCTGGCCAGATAGCTCAGCTGATTGAAGTGCCTGCTTAGGCAGAGCACAGTGACTGGGTGCAATCCCCAGCATTCGGTGCCGGCCCCACCCCCGGGGCACACTGAGACGTGATTGAGACTGGGCATGGTGGTGCACTCCTGTAATCCCAGCACTTGGGA